GTGTCTGTGGTGATCAACATAACATTATGTTGTGCCCAACACGTCTGCTTCCTCCCACTTTTTTAAATCTATTATCTACTCTTCTCTTCTTTTTTTCTCTCATTTCTATTTTTCTGTTTTTTGACACAGCTATACACAAACCTACACTCTTTTGCGAGTAAGCTTTCAAGAAGATCCGCATGCGTCGTCTGTTGTGCACTGCGCTGCTCTTGCTGTGTTGTGCCTACGGGTGCATTGCAGCTGTTGTGCAGCCGCTACCAAAGAGAGGACAGGGTCCTTGGGATACGTACACCCTCTCTGTTCCTGGTGTTGATACTGATGTACCTGAGAAGGTTGAAGAGAATTGGCAACCCATTCGCTTTGCCGTTTCCTCACATGGTGTTGCTTGGACCGTGAACCACTGTCTCTACAGGAAAGTCGGTGCACGTTGGTCCTACGGCTATAACAACCCACATTTTGACAAGGTTGTCTGTTATCGACGTGATGGAATTACTGTCGAGAAGGCCAATCTTTTCTTGAATAAGATTCTCCCTGCTGCTATTAGTTTGCATACTGAACGTCTCAAGGTCAAGCGTGTGAGTGGTAATTTAATGATTTCAAGATCTACAGGCGTTTTTTTGGGCAAAATGTGCAAAGGGGTTGGAATCCCCGCTGCACACCTCGAAGAAGGTATTCCGGATGCTGATTTTGTGCTGTACGTGGGTATTGCGATCTATAAACCAGCTACAACGGTTTGCTCTTACAATGCCGAGGAACGCCCGACATCTGCCAGTATCAAATTCAGACCGAGAGACATCGTTGATACGAGGCATTTCACTCGCATTGTTGCACACGAAATTGGACATGGGCTTGGATTCAACAACAGGCTGATGAACTCCAAGGAAATGCTAACGCTTGTAACAGGCGGCAGCTACGGCGTACAGTATGAGTTCAGGAGTACTTTAATGGAGAAAATGGTGCGGGATCACTATGGTTGTCATAATGCTACTGGCATAAGGCTGGAAAATGATGCACAACATTATTATTACCCTCACTGGGATCGGCGAATTGCGAAGGATGAGCTGATGAGTCCATACAGCGGCAGCAGCAATGGAATGTTCTACACCGCACTGACACTTGCTGTATTTGAGTCTACAGGGCACTACAAAGCAAATTTCAGCAGGGCTGAAAATATGAGTTGGGGACGGAATGCCGGCTGTGATTTCCTTGATAAGAAGTGCCGAGACGACAATATGTCTAAATACAGCGGCATGTTCTGCAATCTTAAATCAACGGAAGAGCTGCAGTGCACATCGGATCGCTTTGCTCTTGGAAAATGCAGTAAAACGTGGAAATCGGATGCTCTCAAGTGGCAGCACTGTCTGTTTAACGAAAGAGATGGACCGAAAATGGCAGAGCTGGATGATGAGTGTCCCATTATCAAACCACTTGTACGTACTTCCTGTGAGACTGGCAATGCCGATATTATGCCTGGAAGTATTGTGAGCAATACCTCTCGATGTCTATCACGCGTAGAATTTGTCTCGGATAGCGAAGTGAGAAGCATCGGTGACATTTGTGCTCAAGTGAAATGTGATGGTGGCAAAGTACATATCCGCTACAAGGGCAATAACAGTTGGCACGTGTGTGATAATGAAACTGAAAACGACGTGATTTCACCCCAAAGCAACGATTCCGCGCTCAGTAGCGGAGTCATTCTTTGCCCCAAATACTCTGAGGTGTGCATGTAAGTGCCCAAACCCCCGTGATGTTTGTATACCCAGAGGTTGAGCTGCACAAACTGCAGGTACTGTCGCAAATGGGAAGAGTAGGGTGGGCCCCAGTGAGACTCCGACGAGTGAAATTACCCCAAATTGGACACGCGAAGAAATGGCTCGTTGGGGGTGGGAAAAAAAAACAGTGGAGAGGCAGTGAATGATCACCAGACCGAAGTGAAGTACTCAGGATGAATCCATCACTGCCTGGAACAATGAGCTTGATGCCACTCAGCGTACACTTCAATGGGAAGAAGAGGGAATACAAGAGACTGACACGTATACCACCCCTCTGCCGTCAACAGTGGTGAACTCACCATGCAGCATGAAGGCAGTGATGTAACTCTCACGGACGGTGATGCTCCCACTGACGACGGCAACAGCACTTTGACGGGACTAAACAACACTCAGATGGGACAAGTAATGAACCAGGCGGGTGGCTTTGGTGTTGTGGGTGCTGACAGCAGCATTTCCGCTTCATACCAAATCCCTCTTTTTTCCTTATTGTGTGTGCTCTGGTGGCTCTGGCATCCCCATGAATCCCATCTGTACACGTACCTGCAATAATAATAAACATTCTTGCTTATTACGGCCTTTTTGACTGTGCACGTATATCCGCATACATCGCAGCCAGTTGGTCGCTCTTTTTTCTTTTCCTTTTTTTTCTTTTTTAACCATAATTCTTTTTACTTTCTTATTGGCTATGTTTTTTGCAGCATTAGAAAACAAAAATTCTCGTAATTGCTAATGGTATCTGGAGTTTATTTTACTTTGTGTGATTGGAAAAAAAATGGTTTATAAATATTGATATGCTTTCTGGTGTCCCACTGTTTGTTGATGCATGTGTGAACGTAATATGGTAGGATTGAACAGCATTAAACAGTGTATATGGACACAGACACTTGGGCTTTAAAATACTGAATTGCTTCTTTTTCATAAATCTTACTTTGGTATATGAGTGTGTGAGTTGAAGAAAGAATATTCATATTCCTGCAGTTAGTGCAGCATGGTTGTTTCTTTTGTTTACCTCTCTCTATCCCTTTGTGTGTGATGACCAACATGACGTTGTATTCTACCCAACATATCTGTTTCTCTTCTTTTTTTTCTCTCATTTCTGTTTTTTTATTTTTGACACAGCTATACACAAACAAACCCACACTCTCTTGCGAGTAAGTATTCAAGAAGATCCACATGCGTCGTCTGTTGTGTACTGCGCTGCTCTTGCTGTGTTGTGCCTACGGGTGCATTGCAGCTGTTGTGCAGCCGCTACCAAAGAGAGGACAGGGTCCCTGGGATACGTACACCGTCTCTGCTCCTGATGCTGTTGACCTCGAGAAGAAAAAAGATTTTAAACCCATTCGTTTTGCTGTTTCTGCCAAAGAAGTGGATAGGGTGTTGAAGTACTGTAAACAGTGGAAAAAAGATCCTTCGGCTAAAGACGTATATGATAATGAATATGGATTTAAACTTGAGGTTGCAAATAGTAGATTCCGTTTCTGCAAGGAGGAAAGCAAGATGACAGCTGCAAAGAAAAGAATTCTTTTGATGGATGTTCTTCCTGCTGCTCTCAAGTTACACAGTGAACGTCTCAGTATTGACCTTGAAAATGAAAAGTTGAAGTTACCTTTTAATGAAACACATCCGTATCCCGTTTTGCCTAATTGTACAGATGTCTCAATTCCCAAAGAGCATCGAGAAGGTATACCCAACGCTGATTTTATGCTGTATGTGGGTCTTACAGATGCGTATAAACCCGTAAAGATTTGCTCTAGAAATGAAAATAATCATCGTCCTACATCTGCTTTGATTAAATTTATCCCCAGGGAAATTGCTGCGACAAGACACTACATTCGTTTTGCTGCACATGAAGTTGCACATGCTCTTGGATTTGATATTGAAATAATGAAGGAGAACAATGTGATTGATGTCGTCGAAGTAGGAGAAGAAAGAAACAAGAAGAAAGTCCCTTTGCTGACATCTACCAATGTTCTTGACAAAGTGAAAGCACACTACGGTTGCTCTGATGATAATGATATAAAGAGAGTGGTTTTTGAAAATGACCGTCGTGAAACTGATCCGTTACACTGGGAACGTCGAATTGCGAAGGAGGAATTGATGAGTACATACACCGTGGACTTTGATGTGACTGGGGCGTACTATACAGCACTAACACTTGCTGTTTTTGATTCTATGCCATTCTACAGAGCCGACTTCAAAATGGCAGAATCGATGAATTGGGGTAAGAATGCCAGTTGTGACTTTCTGAAGGATGAAAACAAAGGAAAAGACAAAGATACTGTAATCAAGAAGTACCCCGAAATGTTCTGCAACGAAATCAAGGGGGGTCTGGAGTGTACTTCTGACCGTTTTGCACTTGGGAGGTGTACAAAGGAGATGGTTCTGAAAGACATTCAAAATATCTCCCCAGAGTATGCGTACTTCAACGATTTAACGTCTTCATATGGTGACTTGTATGATCTGACGGATGGTTATCCCATTATTAAACCTATTTATACAACAAGCTGTGAAAGTGGGAACTTAAGTCTTATGCCTGGCAGTATTGTGGGAAACACATCACGATGTCTGAAAGGTGACAAGCTGAAACTGCATAAGCGAAACAAATTTTCCCTCTCTGTTGGTGATATTTGTGCGGATGTGAAGTGTGACAAAGACAACGAGAAAGTAATGGTGCGGTACAGTGGGAGTGAAATTTGGCATAATTGCAGTGATGGAAAGAAAATTGATGTCGAGAAAAACTCGGATTTCCAGAGTGGAAGTATCTTTTGTCCCAAGTATGCTGAGGTTTGCACGGATTTGGAAAGCTCCACTAAATTCCCCATTGAGTACGATAAGGATGAGGAGGAGAAAATAAAGAAAGAAGAGGAGCAGGAGAAAAAGGAAATGGAGGAAGAGAAGCGCAAAATGGAGGAAGAGCAACGCAAAATGGAGGAAGAGAAGCGCAAAATGGAGGAAAAAGAACGTCAATTGAGGGAAGAGCGAAGTCAAGTCAATAACAACTCACAACAAGTACCACCAAAAGCTAAACTGCAAAAAAAGAATCACTCGGATCCTGTGAAACCACAGGAGGGTGACGTTGGCAAAGAAGAAGAACACACTACTCCAAACGGAAATAATAACACATCAGAAAACGGCCCTGAAAAGAATGTCATCTCAGCCCCAACATCAACTCCTGTTCCCTCAGAGACAACCATTCCAAGCAGCGAGAATAACATTAACACAACAACATCAAGCATACCAGAGAATGTAATCGCAGCTGCTGCTCCTGCCACTGTGGCAGAACTAAACAACACTCAGATGGGACAAGCGCTAAACCAGGCGACTGCCATTGTTATTGTGGGTGCTGACAGCAGTATTTCCGCTTCATACCAAATCCCTCTTTTGCTTCTTTTGTCGGCTCTGGTGACTCTGGCATCCCCATGAGTCCCATCTATACACACACATATATATACGTACCTGTAAGAATAATAAACATTTTTGCTCATTACAGCCTTTTTGACTGTGCACGTATATCCGCATATATCGCAGCCAGTTGGTGGTTTTTTTCTTTTTTTCTTTTTTACTTGCTTGGTTGCGTTATTCGCAGCATTGGAAAACAAAAATTCTTATAATTGTCAATAGTTTCCGCAGTTCATTTTACCAGTTTTTTTTTTTTTGGACTAAAATAGTTTATAAATATTGCTACGCTCTCTGGTGTCCCACTGTTTGTTGATGCATGTGTGAATGTAATGGTAGGAATGAATAGCATTAAACAGTGTATATGGACACAGACACTTGGGCTTTAAAATACTGAATTACTTCTTTTTTATTAATCTTTTTTTGGTATATGTGTGTGTGAGTTGAAGAAAGAAGATTCACATTCCTGCAGTTAATGCAGCATGGTTGTTTCTTTTCTTTACCTCTCTCTATGCCTTTGTGTGTAATGACCAACATGACGTTATACTGTACCTAACATATCTGTTTTTCTCTTCTTTTTTCTCTCATTTTTTTTTTTGACACAGCTATACACAAACACACACACTCTCTTGCGAGTAAGCTTTCAAGAAGATCCACATGCGTCGTCTGTTGTGCACTGCGCTGCTCTTGCTGTGTTGTGCCTACGGGTGCATTGCAGCTGTTGTGCAGCCGCTACCGCAGAAAGGAAAGGAACTCTCGGACGGGTTCATCTTTTTTCCCGATTCTCGAGGTGAGGAGGATGAAGAGAGGTGGTTCCCGCTGCGTATTGGTGTTTTTCCAGGCGGCGTGAACGATGTGTTAAATTACTGCAATGGTAAGAAAACTCCCACTCCGATTTTGGGGGGACTGAGTTTTAGAGAGTCGGATTATAAACGGTTTTGTAAAGAGTTTCGGTTTACCGAGGAGATGGGAAAACTTCTTGTTGAAAAGATTCTCCCTGCAGCTGTAAAGTTGCACACCGATCGCCTTAGTGTCCAGCGATCGCCGAGGAAATTGTTGGTTCCGCGGTTGGTTCACACAGTCTTTTTTTCCTGAATGTATAGATGCTATAATTCCAGAAAAACACCATACAGTGGGTATTGGAAATATTGATTTTGCACTCTATGTGGGACTAAGTAGGTTCATGACTTCTGCGTTTGTTTGTTCTGAAGGTGTGAATAAGCGTCCCACATCTGGTTTGATAAGTTTTTATCCAAAAGACATTGTCGACACAAGACACTTTATTCGCTTAACTGCGCATGAGATTGCTCATGCTCTCGGTTTTGAACTCAATCGTATGAAAGATCTTCAAATGATAATGCAGAGAACAGTGAATGGAGTGAATGTTCCAGAGGTGCGGTCTGAGACTGTAGTTGCGAAGGTGAAGGAACATTTCGGCTGTGATAATGCCACTGGCATCTATATGGAGAGTGAGCACCTGCAGTTTAGCTCTCATTTGGAGCGGAGGCTAGCGAAGGACGATCTGATGAGTACGTACAGTGAAGAACCATCTGGTATGTACTATACATCACTTACACTCGCAATATTTAATGATATGAAATTTTACAAGGCTAACTTCAGCATGGCAGAGACAATGAGTTGGGGCAGCAATGCTGGATGTGAGTTTCTTACAGAGAAATGTATACAAGAGAATATCATTAAATATCCCAATACATTTTGTACTGAATCCCGTGTATCGTTGCAGTGTACATCTGATCGTCTTTCTCTTGGAAGGTGCACATCAAGTAATTTCCCTCAGGACTATCCTGAGGATTATCGAAACTTCAAGAATAACACTTTCACCTATTTGTACGGTGAATTGACGGATGGATGTCCCATCATCAGACAGCTTGAAAAGACAACATGTCAGAGCGGTGATCTGGAGTTAATGCCTGGAAGCATTCTGGGGAAGGGATCACGATGTCTACAAGGGGATGGACTGATACAAAAAAAATCGGCCCAAACTTTCTTGCCAGTTGGTGACATTTGTGCCAATGTAAAGTGTGAGGATGGCAAAGTTAAGGTACAGTATAAGGGGAATGATAAATGGCATGAATGCCCTGATGGTGGCAAGATTGAGAATTTGGAAGGCACAGAGTTCCAAAGTGGAAGCATCTTGTGCCCCAAGTACGCGGAGGTGTGTACCGATCTTCCCCAAATCAGTGAACTCCGCATTGAAAGTAATGAAGCTGCAGATATTGAGATTCTCCAAGATTACGTTATTGGAAGAGATTTACATGACATTAGTGGTGAAGAGAGTAAAGTGGCAAATAATAGCACCAGTGATCACACGGTAGTAGAAAATATTACATGTACGGTGGGGAATTGCGACCAACATACGGCTGGGGAAGGTGCTGACAAGAGTATTGTGTCCTCATATTTTGGAGTTGTGTTATTTCTTCTTTTTATTGCAGCTGTGATGGTGTAATCATGAGATTTATACATAAAATATACTTCAAGAGCCTTTATACAATTTTCCTTTCTTTCTTTTTTTCACATATATACATATTTATACATATTACGGTCCAATTGACTGCACTTCTTTTCTTCTTTTGCCACACGTAATTGTTTATTCCGTTGGAGACCAAATTCTTCTTGGCAATAATCGATTATTAGATGATGCAACAATTGTGCTTTTGGGCAAATATTAATTTATATTTTTGTATTCCTTTCTTGGGGCAAATCCCTCCTTCCTTCCTTTCTTCCTTCCTTTCTTGTTTCAGGCCGTTAATTTTGGCATATTGGCCAACTGACGGAGAAAAATTGAAATTATCATGTCAGTTAAACATATACGTTTGTATATTTTACAACAGGAAACCACTAAAATAATTTTGTTTTTCCATTGGAATAAAAGTTCAATGAAATATGAGAAAGCACCATTGTGATATCTGCTGGTGTTGAGTCTGTTGACCCTTTCACCGCAGCCCTTCTTTCTTGATCACCCTTCACATTTCTCAGGATTCTAGAAAAGGAGAAATGACTATTACTTTGATGTTGTGTTCTACCTCTTTTTTTTTCTTCTTCTTCTCTCCATCTATTCCTTTCTCATTTTTTCTTTTTTTTCTCTGACTGTATTGTTTTCCTTGTGTGTTGCGAGATCAACCGCTAATTAACATAAAATGACGCTAACGCTGTGGGGAGTGGTGAGCCCCGAGAACGCCCGCATGCACAAGATCCTGGTCGCTGCGGCCTTCGCCAACGTGCCCGTGACGGTGAAGCCGTGCGAGTACGGCCGCGAGAACGAGACGGCGGATTACTGCCGCAACTGCAGCCCATGCGGCCGCTACCCCGTGCTGCAGACGGAGGACGGGTACATCTTCGAGTCGAACGCGATCCTGCGCCACATTGCGCGCGTGGACCGGAGCAGCAGCTTCCTGTACGGCCGCACGCCGTTCGAGGGCAGCCAGGTGGACATGTGGCTCGACTTTGCGGCGACGGAGCTGGACGCGGCGGTGATGCCGTTCGTGTTCAACTTCTTCAGAGGCGTGCCGATCGCCGCCGGTGCGATGGACCGCGTGCACGAGGTGCTGAAGGGACTGGACGCGTGGCTTGAGACCCGCACGTTCCTCGTGGGCGAGCGCATGACGGTTGCCGACATTGCCGTTGCGTTTGCGCTGCAGTGGCACTACCGCCTGAACCGCGCCGAGGGCGAGGCGCTGACGCGGCAGTACAAGAACGCGTACCGCCTGTACAACACGGTGATGCAGCAGCCAAAGACGGTGGAGGTGCTGCGGGCGCAGGGCGCGACGTTCGGGCCGGTGAAGGAGGAGAAGAAGAAGGACGCGGCCGCCGCGCCGGCGAAGGCGGAGAAGAAGCCGAAGGCCGCTGCCAGCAGCGCGAAGGACGGGGATGACGAGGACGAGGCGCCGAAGGAGAAGAAGAAGCCGAACCCGCTGGATGAGCTCCCACCCAGCCCATTTGTGCTGGACGCCTTCAAGCGCGAGTACAGCAACACGGACACACGCACAGTCGCGGCGCCGTACTTCTTCCAGCACTACGACCCCGCCGGCTACACGACGTTCTGGTGCCGCTACAAGTACAACGAGGACAACAAGATGCAGTTCATGACGGCGAACCTCATCCGCGGGTGGTTCCAGCGCATGGAGCACACACGCAAGTACGCCTTCGGTGTGGCGCTCATCATTGGTGAGGAGAAGAAGCACGACATTGTGGGCATGTGGGTGTTCCGCGGCAAGGGCATGCCCGAGATTGTGCGCGAGGTGGAGGACACGGAGCTGTTCGACTGGGAGGAGATCCCCGACGTGACGGCGCAGCGGGAGCGCATCACGGACTACCTGTGCTGGGAGGGCCCAACGATCCCGAAGCCGGTGCTGGAGGGACGCGTGTTCAAGTAAGTGTGGCTGGCTCTGCTGCTGATAGTGCTACTGTGGCAACACAGGATACGACAACGGAGGAGGCCAACCGGCGTCGTGAGAAAAAGAATAGCAATAATAATAAGTATAAACAAAGAGGCAACATGTGTGAAGACGAGTGTGTGTGTTGCTGGTGTTTGTTAATGGGATGATTTTCTTTACATTTATGCTGTTCTCTGTCTCTCTTGCTCTTTTTTTTCTCTATGGACGAGGTGTATGTGGTCTGTGAACGAAGTGTATGAGGGTGTGCTTTCTCTGTGTTCAATGTATCTCTCTCATTTTTGATTTTTTTTTTTTTAGAATATTTCTATTTTTCCGAAAAATAAGAAAAAAAAGAAGTTTGTGAGAAAACATCGCAGGTGTTTCTTTGGAGAGAAAGGAGAACGTTCTGACTGATTGGTTTCTTTCATCCTTTTAAAATAATAGAAGAGCGGAACTATACAAAAAAAAAAAGCGTTAATCCTTGTGCACTTTGGAGCAGTCTAATAAACGGGATGTCCTCGCATAAGAAATCTATTTTCGTGGCTGTAGGAGCTGCTGCAGCTGCTGGTTTTGTTGTTGGAGCAGGGGTTTATTTTTTTACAAAGGGCAAACATACCCCTACCAATGATGATGAAGACGCCTTTAATATAACTGCAGATGGGGCTCCTGGTGTTAAGGTAAATTTAAAAGAAGGAACAAGTGTCTTAAAGGAAACGAATATTACTTCACAAGTTGGTAAGAGCGATTCTGCTGGACAAAAAGGCAAAAAACCGTTGGATGCAGCTTTGGCAGAAAATGAATTGCTTACTGAGGCATTAAATGAAATTGGCATGGATGCACCAGCAGAAAGAGCAAAGACTCTTGTTACTTCTGCAGGGAAGTCTAATGACAAGGGTACAAAAGAAGATAGGAAGGAATTTCCAAATCTTGGTTTGTCAATGGCAGTCCCGAAAGGATGGGAAATTCGTGAGGATCTTTCTCCATTTCCACTTGTGGCAGTTCTTACTGTTTGGAATCAAGATTTAGTTATTGAAGATGACCATCAACGAATTGGTGCCGTTCCAACAATTCTGCTATCTGTGGAGGATGTCCGAGGTGATAATGATGATTTAGCTGAATATAAAGATCGATGCAAGGATGCTACAGTGAATCAATTACTTATGATGACTGGAGGTGCTATTGAACCAAAGGTAACGAAAGACAGTCCTGTTCAAGATGGTCCTTTTCGTCATGTAGTTGAATTTACACAAAGTCTTCCTCCTTTCTATGATATCGTGGTGTTTAATCTTCTTGAAGTACGTAATTGCATTGCATACAATTTTCAGATTATGTGCTCTCCAAGTGTATTGCCTCAGTACAAATCTATGTTTATGGAAATGGCCCGCAGCGTGCGAATTGTGGGGAATCTTTCCACTGCTATTGGTTATGTGGAGCTGCATACAGGTTCACTTAAGATAGATATTGATACAAATTGGTCTTGGGATTATCCTGGTAAAAATAATGCTTTGGCTACTTTTACAACTTCATCAATGTCAAAGAAGGAAGAGATAAGTTTGTATGCTGAAGGTACAGTACCTACTACAACTTATAAACCACAAGAGGAAAAGAATATGGACGGTGTTCATATTGTTTCCGCATTTGATGGTTCTCAGCAGCAGAAAACTTTAACTTATAATGGATATGTTTTGGTTGTTAAACCACTTCAGAAATCTATTTCTTACTTGATTGAAGAAGAACTTATTGTAATTCTTAAATCTGTTACTCCTTCAACAGAAAAATCAAATCCAAAGAAGAGTGGTACATTTATTAATAAAGAACATGGTTATCTTGTGGATGTTGTTCGTGGTGGACGCTTGGTGGCAAGTCGTATTGGTGGTTACCAAGTTGTTTATGCACCTTGTGGTGTAGCTGAGACAATGGATGAGGAACAACCACCCACTGTTACTATTCGTATTGGTTATCCCGAGACTGATCCAGAGTGTATGAGTTCCCTGGATGAATGGGAAGAACAAATAAAAGAAAAAACTGAAGGTGATATTAAAGAAATTACACGAACCACTATTACTGGTGAACGTTGTCTTACAGTTGTCTCGCAAAATATGGATGAAATTGCTCCAGGTCAACGAATGGAAGTGTGTACAAAACTCTTTATATTTGTTCGTAATGGAAAGACAACATTGATTCGATGGTCATCGGCAGTTGGACTTTGGAAAAAGTTTGAGCGGGATATGAACGCTTTCGTTGATTCTTTTAGATTCATTTGATCTATCTTTCTCTTTGCTCCACCCTTGCGTGTCGTAAAAGGCATCCTCTGTCAATGAAGGAAAAAAAAA